GTGGATTGCTGATAGACTACGCATCTGCTGTACCTCATCACATCAAACTTGCCGTTGCCAAGTCTCAATTCTTAAGAGCACAACGTCTGTCTTCCAATGACACCATGTGTAAAGAAAGTGAACAGAAAATTCAAGACCAACTTCAACTCAACCACTATCCAGAGAGCCTCATCATCAATGCCCGAGAAGCAGCAAGGAAACCCAAGCGTCGCCGCCGAGGTAATCCGTGTTGTGCGTTTCTTAAGCTGCCGTATAAGTCGGACAGGGTGCATCACATCGTCAGCAAAGCTATCCGGAAGCACAAGTTACCAGTCCGGGTGGTTTACGAGCATGCGGGTAGCCTCAAACGTCAGCTCTGTCACTCAGCACAAAGTCCGCCCAGCTGCATTAAGGAGCCCAACATCAGAAAGACAAAGAGAAGAGGACGCCCATTGGGGCCGTGTCTGACTTGTAAGTCGGGTGGAGTGAAAATATGTTTGAAGAAGAATGTGATATACCGGCTGCAATGCAAGTTGTGCAGGGAAAAATACATCGGAGAGACGGGTCGCACACTTGAGACAAGACTGGAGGAACACAACGGTGAAGCTCGTAGGCGCACTGTAGATAAGCCATGGGGTGACCACATGCGAGCTAAGCATGCAGGGATCAACCTAGGTGTCGGGGACAGCATCTTCTCGGCAGTGTCTGTGGTTGCAAGAGCCAGTGACAGGGCAAGCCGCAAATTGCGAGAGGCAGTGGAGATCAGAAACGAAGGCCCAGAGATCAACACCAGTGCTGGATGGTCATTACTCTAAAACAATCACACCACACTGTCTATCTAGGTGACAGTATTTACTGGAAACCACTGACATGGTCACATTCGTGAATTGCTTGCGAGAAACCTGTTCAGACATTTCTCAAGTTATCTGGTGACATCTGCGCTGTGCTAACTTATTACCAACACCCAGCATATGAGTCAGTGAAAACTTGTGATCTTTCACTAGTTTTAGAGATGTCATATTTCTAGCACTGAGGTAACATATGTAGTCATAGAAATATTATCAACACCTAAGAACACCAAACTAGTGTATATAACTGCTCCTTGGCAGACTTCCACTTCATATTGTATCCTGATGATGGCAATTTGCCGAAACGTTGAAAATGATTATGTGAAATGAAATGAGTTGTGAATTTGCAGTGCCCAGGGAATGAGCATGTGTGCTCACCAATTCTCTTCGTATTATCATCTTCTTCCCTTAATTTTTTTCTTCTCTTGCCATGGCTGGCTAACGCCCCCTCCTTTGCATTGGCTTCTGCCATTGGACGGTGAAATAATAATAATAACAATAATAATAACTAAGTGCTAAGTACTGTAGAATTCTGGTGTTCAGTTTGTTGCAATTCGTCCTCTCGAAGCTCCCCCCCCCCCCTTCATATTTTCATCTCTGATAATATTGAGTCTCCCAAGTTGGGTGGTTGTTACTTTGCATTGTGGAATTGTGGTTAGATCGTTCTGTCTGGTCATGCCGCCCAGTCATCATACCAGACCAGCATTTCATGAAGCCTTGGAATGTGCTTGGCTCAATGGCGGTTACCTTCCCCTCTTTGGAATTAGCACTAATATCCGTGAAACTTCCAAGTTGGAAGGCCGTTAGTTTGCGCTATCGCGCAATGCTCAAGCTGATTTTCATGCCGTGGAATGTCTCAGTACTCCCTGTCAGTTTTGTGCTAGATTGTGCACGTCTCACTGTTCAAAATCTGGCTTAGTTTGTAGACTCGATTGCATAACTTGTGCCCACATTTTTCCATGTTACATTTCTATTTATTCTTACAACATGCATGACGACCTAGGTAAAAACAAAGCATAGCGATGGCTCCTTGGCTTTTGAAGCCCTCTCATAGCAAATGAAGGCTGCTAGGGAGCTCCCTATGGCGGAAGGTTTTCTAAAACCCCAAGAATACCGGCCGATTTCACCCAAAGGAAACTATTGTTATCATCAAAATTGGCCACAAGGTACCACTGAGACTGAGGTTAATTGACATGTTGCTTTCTCCCCCACAAAAAAAAAGAAAGAGAGCTTGTAAGTTCAGGGACCTCGCTATGCTTCCTTGCCTAGGTCAACATGAATGTTATTCGAACTGCTGGAAAGGTTTTTGCAATATAATGATTTGATAACCACAATCAATAAAATTAGCTGAACCGACATTTGTGTACTTTATTCATGCAATGTAAAAACGGTGGAGACGATGTGCAATAAAACGATGAAAATATGAAGAAATGGTGTAGAGAAAAAATATGGATTCAAACAAGTCTTCGAACAACACTCATCAGGAATCGTCGCTGTACTAAAGGACACTGAAACAAAAATTGAACTATTATAGAAAATCTAAGTTAGAGTAATAACACTAAGAACGAAAGCAGTGAAATTTAGAAGTGTGAATTTTTACAATCAAAGCGAGAAATGAACAAACCAGAGAAAGAAAGAAGAAAAGACAACGTGATAACACATAACAGTAGTACATTTCACCTAGAACATTAACGGCCAAGCTTGGCCACACCAAACACGACACGTTACTTGAACAATTTCAACCCAATTATACTATCTTTCTGTACACACAAATTAGGCTTATACAGACGCTGATAGATAGCTTCCAACACTTTTAACTGTAGTCCATAACCATGACGACCACAGCACAATACAGTGAACGAAGAGTCGGAATACGAATTGCAACAATCAGGACTAGCTAGCAGATGATTGTACACTGAAGACTTGCTACCACGAAACCTACGCACAACACTAACACTCTCACCGGCACTCTCATCATCACTCCCATCACTACTCTCCGACTCACTGCTCCCTTTGCAGTCCGTTCCATCCTCCGCTTCCTCTGCACTCTCTCTGTCTCGTCCATCCCGCCTGACCGGGTCCATTGAACTCAACTCGGCCGTCACCCTGCTGTCACGTCCCTCCTTTCGCCCTTGTCCGTTGAGTGCGTCGCTTCTGTTGCAGTTGGCTGTTGATCGTCTTGGTCTTTCAATTATGGGCTTGGATGGTGGATTATGTGTGGTTGCTGTAGATTGCGTTGTTAGTGTTGGTGTGGGAGCTACTGATATACAAGGTGGGTCTTTTTGAGTCGGTATTTGTAGTGTTAATGCCACTATCAGTGTTGCTCGTTGTCTGCCACTGGCAAGCTCCACCGCCGCAAGAACCGATGACGGAGGATCAGGAGGAGGCTGTGGGACCGGGACCGCAAGTGGCAGTACCTCAGCCAAAGCCGCCGAGGGCACTGACGAAGGAACCACCGACGGCCGGAGCAAAGGCGGCGACACAAGCCGACCCGATGAGCCACCACGCCCATTCTCCTCCACCACACCACCAGCGACGGCGGAGCAAGCACAGTCTGTGAGCCAGGATCCGCGGATTGTGTAGGTAACGGCTGTGTGGTTAATGGTTGTTTTCTAGGTCACCCTCGCTTCGGTCTTTGTTGTTGTGCGCAAGGTGAAAGTAGGGAGGTTTAGTCCCACGTAATCCGTGGGTACTTTACGTGTGTGTACCACGTGATACTCAGTGACCCACGTACAGACGTTTTCTGGTTCACGACATACCGTATATGGAGGCTCACCCACGTTCCGCCAGAACGTGGGTGAAAATCAGAATGGAGCGCATTTTGCGAGCTGTGAGGGTGCTCAGCTGAAGAAGTTTCAAAAGCACGAAATCGAAATATTCGATGAGTTTCTAAGGCCCGGGTAGCTTCTTCTTTGACCAGGTTTTGGACCTTTCGCTTCATGCTTTTGTTTGTTCCGTGTGACTTAACACAACATTGCAACGTGAATGCCCTTCATCCACTTTACGTGGATCACCCACGTACGCGTTTCCGTTACGTGGGAACTAAACCTCCCAACTATGTGACGTGGTGTGTGTTGTTTGATGCGTGCGTTCAGGTGCTGAACAGTCCTACCAACATACCGACTAGCCAAGCTTGGCCGTTAATGTTCTAGGTGAAATGTACTACTGCTATGTGTTATCACGTTGTCCTTCCTTCTTTCTTTCTCTGGTTTGTTCATTTCTCACTTTGATTGTTAAAATTCACACTTGTAAATTTCACTGCTTTTGCTCTTAGTGTTATTTCTCTAACTTAGATTTTCTATGATAGTTCAATTTTTGTTTCAGTGTCCTTTAGTACAACGACGATTCGTGATGAGTGTTGTACGAAAACTTGTTTGAATCCATATTTTTTCTCTACACCATTTCTTCATATTTTCATCGTTTTATTGCACATCGTCTCCACCGATTTTACATTGCACGAATAAAATACAAAAAATGTCGGTTCAGCTAATTTTATTGATTGCGGTTATCAAATTATTGTCTCCTCGCCGTGTGTTCAATATAATGATAAAACTATAAATACCCCACCCTCCCCGTTTCTTTCTGAACACACAGTATAATCATAAAGTACATGACATTGTATTTCCGGGCTTGGCCTAACATGGGATCCGAACCGCACTATTGCTCTGCATGCATTCCCTGATACACTTCGCATACATATGCATGCTTCCAATTTGCTTCCCGTTATGTCGGTTATGATCTTGCAGTTGAAACCCCTATTTGAATATGTTGGCCAGCTGTCTTTTACAATGATAAAAGAAAGATCCGCCCCCTCCCCATCTTTTCCGGAAGAAAAAGGGTGGTCATGAAGTGTATTCTTTGGCTTGGCCTAATATGGGACTCAAACCCGCACTATCGCCCTGCATGCATTCCCCGATACACTTCGCGTTATACCCTTCGCATCATACACATTCTTCCAAGTTGTTTCTCGTTATGATCTTGCAGTTGAAATAAGGTGGTCGGCTATCTTTGATGGTTCGGTACGAGATAGCGCCAGGCATGCCGTCGTCAGCCACAAACAAATACCTAATTAAAGCTGTGTGGACCCTGGCTCGCGCCAGACGTTACCTAAGTAACGCCTTTGGCCTAGCTACTGGAGTACATGAAAAAAACATTATTATTCTCAAACTGTACCTTGTACTAGGATGGTCAGTTGTTTTGAAGCAGTTCCAAAGGGTGTTGATACTGTACAAGTATATATCCCTGAGTCGTCCACACTTAGGTAATCACCAAGCTTACGTGTCCAACCATTTGCACCACTATATGCTGGTAGTATTCTTCCATTCTTAGTCCACGTCATATTCAATGGTCCCGTGCCGTTTGCTTTGCACACCAAGGCAATTGATCCGACCTGCCATGATGTGGACACGATAGTCATGGATCCACTGATGAAGGCAATGTACGGTTTTTCTATAACAAATGCAAACAGGGAGGAAGCAAGGAACCTTCACCACTACAAACTGCCCTCGCATAACAAGATCAATGGGGTAAGTTTAGGGATGGGTGGGGTGGTAGAAGCGGGAATGGCACATCTGAAATAGCTAAAAGAAACTGACAAGGTGTGCTTGAGCGAAAAGAAGTACAGGGAAGAGCTGTTGAAGTTTTAAAATTACGAAGAAATAGGGGCGTTTTAAACCAAAACACTGCCTTTAATTAAAGATGTAACACGAAGACTCGAACGAAGGACCTTCGCAAATATGTACTCATATTTTTCCTGAAGCAGTAATAAAAAAGCAGTATTGCCAGTTATTTTTCATACAGAAATGATCCTCTTTACCTGACCAGTAACACATGCATTACTCACCGGCAACGTGTAAAGTTAGAGTGTTCGTCTGATACAGTATTCCTCCCTTCCGAAAGCTGCATTCATACGCTCCTATCATTGACTGAGTGATAGTTGTTGGCCAGTGCAGCTTTCTGGTGAATATTATATCCTTGTCTATTGTTAACTGCCGATTGTCTCGATAATGGCGCTCAATCCTGAACAATGGATTGTCTTGAACAGGTGCGTTGTTGAAGTACCAGAAAGCTGTCGACGGGGGTGGGTCAATGGGCCCAATTGAACGAATTGTGCCACATACGATCAAACACGTCAAAGAAGGAAGACTTGCCGATGACATGTCAGGCAAAATGTAAAAATCTCTTGGTCCTTGATAGTCAATATGCAAAATCGATTCACTTCTTAACCCAACATATCCATTTTTACAGTCTGCAACAACAAGCGCACACAATGTCAACAACAAAACAATGATGACTTTCATAGAAACTATGTGGAAGTATAAACTGTCACGTTGCCGTAAAGTGGCACCGAATGCTAACGTACGGGCTGTATTGCATGATACTCGGCAACTGCTATTACTGTTGCCTAGCAACGAGTCTCCAGTTTTCCTGGGCCCCCAAATAACTATCATGTTGTGTGACTTTGCACATGACTGCATGGCGTCAGAGCAACTTTGGAAGAGTTCCAACAAGCTATGAATCAGACGAAGCCCATGATTGCCTCCGCTGGCCATCGGCCCTTTCTCGCAATTTAATTTTTGTATTCAAGAATAGTGAACAAAGACAGAAAAGCACTATATGTATGGCCTGGACTACCATCATACAAAATGGCACTCATTGTAAGAAAAAGAATACAAGAGGATGTAGATTGATAGATTTAGATTCCCATGCCCTCGCTCAGTATTATTTTCATCAGTCCACACGGATCTCACGACAAAACCATCACCCTTCTACCCTTGTGTTTACTGCAGTCACTTTGTAACCTTCACCTAACTCATAGTTTGAGCATATATTCCCGTTTGTTTTCCCATGTTCACTATTCGATGTAAGTTCACTGATGACCAACGAAGAAAAACAGAAGGTGTATGAATTCTTCTTCACATATTTTATTTTTATTAGTCCATCCTGGTATTATGTCAGCTTCAATTTTGTTATTTTTTTATGGACAAATTCCAGATCCACAAATTCCCTCACATCACACGAGGATCTAGTTGCACTGAGGCAGCTCGCCCAGGATCGTCGAAAGTGGAAGGAACTAATGTGTGCTGTGTGCAGTGTGCAGTGGCTGAAGTTATACAATTACACTAGATACTTGAAACTCGGATGTTGAGCCATAAATAAATGTAACTAGGCACAAAACTGACGTTGCCTTCCCCTCTTTGGTCTTTCCATAACCTTGAACCTTCCAAGTTGGAAGACTGTCGGTTAGCGCTACGGTGATGTGTTGAAGCTAGGTGTCAGGACGTCGAATGTTTCAGTACCCTGTCAGTTTTGTGCCTAGTTATTGCACGTTCTGACTGTATATAGTATCATGTTACAGTGATGGAGAGTTACTCTTAACTCGTATCTATATGTCCTTTTCTCTTCTACACTAGATACTCTTAACAATAATAACGGAAAGAATTACACTAGATACTCTCACACTAGATACTCTCACAATTTTATCAACAATTATGGTAATTACCACATCAAATGCTGCAGAGATCTATCCAGAATCGGCAATATGCTGGCCCTGGCCTGGAGATCTGCAACTACAATCAGCTTCTACTTTGCAACATTAACGGATTAGTCCCCTTTGTCGATTGATTGATCAATCGGTAGATTCGGCTCTGTTTTTCTTTCCTTTCTTTCTTGTTTTGAATTGTATGTCTAACTCATTGGATTTCTTTGTATTCTGTATCTCGTTATCGTTATCTTTTCCTCTAGCCCTCTCGCTTAGGATGAGCTTTCTTTTTTTATGGCAGCTTAAGCGAAGGCTATATACCTGCTTTATGCAGGTTGATGCCAACGGCTCTGAGGTGGACAAAATGGGTTCGAGCCTTTGACTATTATCTGACGGGAAAGGACATTACGAACAAGAAGCGTTCAAAAGCACTGCTCTTGCACTTCGCGGGTCTAGAAGTTCAGGATTTATTCGAGGACCTATCCGACCCAGATGACAGCCTTCCACCAGATCAGAGAACACAGAATGACAATGAGTTCCTCAAGTGCAAGCGTACCTTGCAAGCTCATTTCGGTGTTCCTGCAAACCCTACGTATGAGAGGCACGTCTTCCGTCAACTCACTCGCCGGCAGGGAGAGTCCACAGTGCAGTACTGCACCAAGCTTCGGCAGCAAGCTCGGCTTTGTTCTTTCGAGAATGAAGGACAAACTGCGGAAGCTATACGTGACCAGATCGTAGCCACAGTCGACAGCAGTGAGCTGAAGAAGAAGCTCCTGTCAGAACCAGCCCTGACTCTGCCACGAGCATTGGAAATGTGCAGAATTTGGGAGGACGCCCAGTCCCAGTCGGAAGGAATGTCCTCAACCACTTCTACTTCGTCTGGTACCGGTTATACCGAGAGTAGTAGTATGCTTGTCAATGCCGTGCACCACCAGACCAGAGTCACAGGCAAGCTGGACGGGGTGGATTTGTGCAGTCATCGCGTGGCCAGTCACGTAAATGCGGTGGATGTGGAGACCAGTGTTACGAGAAGCGCGAGTCATGCCCAGCTTGGGGCAAGTCGTGCCGGAAGTGTAGGAAGCCAAACCACTTCGTCAAAGTTTGCCGTTCACAGCAGTCCAGCACTGGTGGCAGTGTACACATGGTTGGCCAGTCTCAAGAAGTACATGGAACGTCGCCAGTCGACCCTGCTCTTGCTCCAAGTCATAGTGCAAGTGCTGGTACTGGTGCGAGTGTTGCATCCGGTCCTACAACTGCAAGTCCGTACAGCAGCGGCCTGGACGAGTACTATTCGTTGTACCGCACGCAGAGTGACAAGGACCGCGTGGACCCATACTGTTGTACCCTCCAGTTATGTAAACAGCCAGTCGTGTTTGAAATCGACACGGGTGCAGCCGTGACGGTGATGTCTGAAAACGAATTTCATCGGCTGGCATCCAAGGTCAATTTGTCGCTCGACACCAGTGATCTGCCGAAGCTGCGTACTTACTCCGGCGGAATTCTGAATGTCGTCGGTCGCTTTAGTGCTTCTGCGACCCATGCTTCTCGTAAATCAGCAGAATTGTCGATCGTCGTTGTCCAAGGAAACGGACCAAATCTCCTGGGTCGAGACGCGTTGCAACTGCTGAGGTTGAATTGGAACTTCGTGTTCAACGTGTCACGCGAGCACTCGATATTGTCAGAGTTCCCGCAGCTCTTCCAACGTAGCATGGGCACCTGGCAACATGGAAAAGTCAAATTGTCCGTGGCAGACAGCGCCAGACCCCGGTCCCTGAAGGCACGCTCTGTTCCTTATGCGTTACAAGCAGCAGTGGAAAAAGAGCTGAGTCGACTGGAGGAAGCTGGCATCATTAGTCCTGTCCAGTATTCGGAGTGGGCAGCTCCAATCGTACCCGTTCTCAAGCGGAACGGTAGCATACGAATCTGTGGCGATTATAAATGCACTATCAACCAGTCGGCAAGAGTAGACAAGTACCCCTTGCCCAACATCGACGACTTGTATCAGAAGTTATCGCAAGGCGCATTCTTCTCCAAGCTTGACCTGAAACATGCTTATCAACAACTGTTGCTCGACGACGAGTCTAAGCTGCTGACGACAATCAACACCTCCAAAGGATTGTTCGTCTACAACCGCCTACCCTTTGGCGTGTCGGCGGCCCCGGCAATATTTCAGCGCACGATGGAACAATTGTTAGCAGGTCTGTCCTTTGTCGTAGTGTATCTCGACGACATTGTTGTTTCTGGAAAGACTCGTGCGGAGCATGATGAAAATCTGAGGCTGGTCCTGGATCGTCTAGCGTCCGCAGGTCTCAGGTTGAATCGTGAGAAGTGTCTCGTGGCTCAGCAGTCTATTGAGTTCCTGGGCCATGTTATTGATTCAGTCGGCATTAGGCCGTCGGCTGAGAAAGTGGATGACCTTGTGAAGGCCCCACAGCCCAAGAATGTCCCTGAACTGAGAAGCTTTCTGGGACTCATAAACTATTACCACAAGTTCAACGAGAATCTAAGCTCAGTGTTAGCTCCATTGTATGAATTGTTATCATCAAAGTCGTGGTGTTGGTCTGATAGTCACCAGAAAGCGTTTGATACAGGCAAGTCTCTGCTGCTTTCTGAGCCGATACGTATTCATTATGATCCTAGTTTACCTATTGTCGTGTCCTGTGACGCTTCCCCGTATGGTGTTGGCGCAGTTCTGTCGCATGTTCTGCCAGATGGGTCTGATCGGCCAGTAGCCTTTGCATCTAGAACGCTGTCGTCTTGTGAGAAGAATTACTCGCAGCTTGACCGTGAGGCTTTGGCAATGGTATTTGGCGTCTCCAAGTTCCACAAGTACATCTTCGGTCGCAACTTTACACTACAAACAGATCATAAGCCACTGCTGGGATTGTTTGATCCTGATAGACCCATTCCTGTTCAGTCTAGTGGTCGTATTCAGCGATGGGCACTCAAACTAGCCAATTATGAATTTGTTCTGGAGTACCAGCCTGGGAAACAGAACGGTTGCGCTGATGGATTGAGTCGCCTCCCCAATCCGGCGCTGGTACCGGAACCGCCGCAGCCAGCCGAGGCTGTACTATCGCTATCCGTCTTGAACACTACACCGGTTACGTCTGCATCGGTTGCTCGCTGGACGAGCAAAGATCCGTCCCTGGCATTAGTACACAAGTTTGTGTCTGAGGGCTGGCCCCAAGACATTCCAGAGGGATTAGAGCCATATTCCCGTCGTCGTAGTGAGCTGTCTGTCTTGAATAACTGCATCCTAATTGGTTCCAGGGTAGTTATTCCTTCACCGGGTCGTGCACCATTGCTGGACGAGTTGCACGCCGGTCATCCCGGTATCGCTAGAATGAAAGCCCTGGCACGCAGCTATGTCTGGTGGCCGTCTCTCGATGCAGAAATCGAACAGACCGTCCGTGGTTGCACGCAGTGCCAGACCGTCACCAAGTCGCCGCATCGCCAGCAAGTCCTCCCATGGGAATGGCCTGGTAAGCCTTGGTTACGTGTCCATGTCGACTTTGCTGGACCCATCGCTGATGAGATGCTCTTCATTATTGTCGATAGTCATAATAAATTCATTGAAGCACATGTTTGCTCTGGCTCATCTGCTGCTGTCGCAATTCGCAAGCTGGAGCAGACCTTTGCTCTGCTTGGCTTACCTTATAATATTGTTTCTGACAATGGCCCTGCTTTTGCAAGTACTGAATTTCGTGAGTTTTGCTCATCTAATGGAATACGTCATACTCTCGTTTCACCATATCATCCATCTAGTAATGGCTTAGCCGAGCGCGCAGTACAGACGGTGAAGTCTGGCTTGGCCAAGATGTCTGGCCCTGATTTGGAAACCCGCCTTGCTAGGTTCCTGTTCCAATACAGAATGACGCCGCAGTCAACAACGGGTCGTTCTCCGTTTGAGCTACTTTGGAAGGAACATCGTCCCCGCTCACGTCTGGATCTCGTGTTCCCGGACAGCGGCAAGAAAGTCTTGGACAAACAGTGCACTGCCCATGATCGTGGTGGTGCAAATGCATACCAGTTCTATTGTGGTGATACCGTCTGGGCAATGAATTTCAACTCCTCGCCGAAGTGGATAGCTGGCATCGTGGAAGAACAGCTTGGCCCTCTAACATTCACGGTTCGTCTTGTTGATAAAAGAGTCTGGAAGCGTCACTCTGACCACCTGAAGAAACGCCTTCCTGCTGAGTCAGTGCAAGATGCTTCAACTGCTACGTCAGCACCACAGCTTCCATATTCCAGAGCTTTACCTTCTACCACAGCTCTACCGTCTTCAACTGCTCTACCTAGTGTTCCGCCGAATGAGTCTTTGTCACTGCCTGGCTCAATTGTACATGATGAGATCCGTGAGAATGCTGATTTATCTGTTCCTGAATCTACTTCTAACCAGTCTAGTGGTTCTAGTCCTGTCGTGTCTATGCGCAGTTCTTCTCGTTCTGTAAAGGCTCCTGTCCGCCTTGATCTGTAGTTCGCCTTATCAGATTATTTGCTGCCACGACACAGTCTATGTATTTCTGTTATTCTGGTCGTTTCCATCTGATGGTGGAGGGATGTGATATCTGAGCAAGCATTGTACAAACGCGTCATAAGTTGTTATCTTATTACTTACGTTGCCTGCATGCATATGCGCATGCCCGTTGTTTTGTTGTCTTGTCTTGCTCTGAACGAGTGATATACAAGTCTTGAGTTTTTCCCTATCTGACAAGTTTGTCTTGGTCTTGTGTAGTGCCTGGGTTGCATGTAACAGCCAAGGGCTGTTAGTGTGTTGCGAGTTGGGTATTATTATTATTATACGCATTCCCGCGTTGAAGTGTAGCAGCAGTATGCTGCGTCCACAGCTTCGCTTATGCAGAATGGCTTGGGTGAGAGGAGAGGGGAGAGAAAGCAACAAGTTGGGTATACTGAAAATAATAATAATAAGTGTTGAACGGATTGGGAGAACTTCAAATACAAAGGATCAGTTGGGGAAGTGAACTGCCTGAAAAGAGAAAAAAACGCCAGACCCACCAGGACTCGAACCTGGGACCCTGCTTGTCATGAACATTGCTCTAACCACTGAGCTATGGGACCAGGCCGAACCTAGAAGGCGCTGGCAAGTTTTTCACTCGGCCTGGTCCCATAGCTCAGTGGTTAGAGCAATCCTCATGACAAGCAGGGTCCCAGGTTCGAGTCCTGGTGGGTCTTGCGATTTTTTCTCTTTTCAGGCAGTTCACTTCCCCAACTGATCCTTTGTATTTGAAGTTCTCCCAATCCGTTCAAAATAATAATAATAATAATATTTTGGTACTAGGACGGAGGCAGAAAATATTACAAAAATGTATTATCTACGCATCCATCTATGCAAGAGTCACCACCAGCCAATTAGGACATGTGTCAAAGTATTGAACGTTTTCGTTCCCTTCTTGTCACAATACTACAGGGACTGATGGAAATACGCTAAGAGACTACAACTATGAAGTGAAGAAGTTCATTGTTACATCTTGCCGTGTTGGAAGCTTTGTACATACGTAAGTTCGACCCTGAGCTTTGTGTTCAGACGGAGAATGTGTTGTCTTTGCAGTTGTTTGACACTGTTCGTCGTGAAGGTGCGAAATAGATCTCATGATCTCTTGATATTTTCTCTCTTTTTCTTGTCACTACGTTTTAGTCACTTATTGGATTTGCATGCTGTTTTCTTGACTCTTCCCTTCTATTTTTTCGTGTCATTTCTACACATAATTGGAGTGATGTATCTACTTCAAAGTATGAACTTCTGTTCTTCATAGTTGTAGTCTCTTAGCGTATTTCCATCAGTCCCTGTAGTATTTTGAGAAGAAGGGAACGAAAACGTTCAATACTTTGACACATGTCCTAATTTGCTGGTGGTGATTCTTGCGTAGATGCATGCGTAGATAATACATTTTTTGAAATAATAATAAAAATAATAATTGTAAACTCGGATACTGAGCCAGTAATAAAATGTAAAAAAGAGAAGAAACACATGAGAACGAGTCATGCAGCAACTATCCACGACTGTAACAAGATGATAAACAGTCAGAAAGTGAGATAATAGGGCACAAAACTGACAGGCTACTGAGACATTCAGCAACCCGAGACCTAGCTGTAACACATCTTCAGTGCGCAAACCAACAGCCTTTCAACTTGGAAGGTTCATGGTTACGTAGGACCAAAGAGGGGAAGGTGAGCGCAGCGAAAATGTGCAAAAGCTAAGTCCCGCGGCAACAAAGAATGCTGACTGTTACAGGACGATGATGAGACCAGTTAATAACATGACAATGCGGTCTGACTACAATTCGAAGCAGCAAAGCAACACACCACCCAACTTGGGTGGGTCAGCAATATCGAAGATAAAGGAAAGGGGAAGCTTTGCGAAAACGAATTGTACAAAACCGGACGCCAATATCTAACGGTACTCCTCATGCATGCATTTTGTAAAAAGGACACAAAATCCTTCGTTCTGGGAACTTCTGCACACTTCTGGCGCAGTGTGCAGTCGAGTCGAGTACACGTACTCAGTACGACTGCAGATGCATAACAGATCTACGAGTTCGAGTCTAGAAAAAAGGTCAAAGTCTGATGCGCATATGCATATCGATGGATCCTGATTTTTTTTTATTACGGTTTGCACGTTCCAGACGGACCACACTTTTCGAAAAGTGGTACGGCCATGGTCGTACCAGTCGTAGCGGGTGCTACGCCCCTGGGCTTATGCTCCAGTGGCGCCTACATTTGTATACTCTGTAAAACACAGTGCAGTACTGTAGGGTGCTGAAGAACGACCAGGCTAGAATTTTACTAAACACAGCACACACCAATGTATACACGGTGACTCAGCTGTGCATAGACTGTAGTACATGAAAATAAGAATGGTCTAGGCTAGGACCCCCCCCCCCCCCCCCCCCACTAGTTCTTCGGCGACCAACATAACTTTATACATGTACATGTACTTACTTTCATGCTGACTCTGCACTGCCAATATCATTCCCAGCAAGATCAACACTGAGAAGATACGTGGGGCAAAATGTTGACCATTGATCAATTTGGTGTACTGAATGAGAAAAATATAGATATGCAAACGTACACACCCAACACATGCGCGTATACAGACACAGCCACACCGAGACAGTCGGAGACACACATGCATATAGACATGGACACACACACACATACATACACAGACACACACATACACACACACATACACATGCATCAACGTACGTTACACGTTTTCAATGTTCTCGTTAGCTCATCATCGTCGCTGAGCCGATTTTCCCTGATGAAAGTCCCACGAGAGCCGATTAGAATCTTTTCAATCAATATAATCATATCACATAGTTTGATACAATCTTTCTTCCTCTTCTCCTCCATGCGCTCCCATCCGACTATTCTTAGTAGCCATTACACACACACCAATACTTCAACGAATGCGGTTACAGGTACTTCAACTTGATTGATACCTAGTTTGTTGCTTCATCATTCCATGTCCTGTTTGTTGTAAGTGAAGTCAACCCATACTATGACCTAGTCAATTGCCACTGTTTGACGGAGACGCTGTTAGACCTCTCGTTTCAAAACATTGGACACAGCAGGGACAATGGTTATCTACTCCCCCTCACTGCCTTTCCCTCCCCATCTGAAGTCAGGCCCTCCATCACAGATTAGGCCATAGGTAGGGATCTCAGCGCGTGAACTGTGCAGTCAGTCTGCGCAGGTGAGATTTTCGATCCCAAACGCGTCCAGTGCAGAAACCGTGGAAAAGAACATTTTTTCGAAATAAATCAAGTTGAAGAAGACAGTAGAAATGGCTGAATGTTGCGTCCAGGAAAGCACGTTCTAAGGCCATCTCCAAGCTACCTATCTCTCAGACACTCTCTCAGAGGAACTATGGAGGGTCAAAGAGCACAACATTTCACTCTTGGACGCAGCGTGAACACCTCTTCTACTGAGCGAGACGTCTTCTCTGTGAGTGATAATGGCGGCGATGTTCGCGATGGCTGATGCACTGAAAATCGAAGTTAGGACAATCTAACCGGAGAAAACGTGTGGATTTTTGACTGAATCTTCTCTGAAGTGGGTTCTTGCCGCATGGCAAATTATAGGAAAATCGACCGGGGCAATATCGCCTTGGTCACGCTGTCCTTCGGCGGGAATCACAAAGTATGTTCGAACGACGATGAAGATGACGATTCCGCTAATGTCCACCGCGTCCGCTAGCGTCGAAAATCGGCCGTCGCCATTTTCTGCTGTGTCCGCGAGCTGCACTCAAAACTCGATGACGCAATGTATGCGCAAACACCCTGCGCACTGCACGCACTGAGATCCCTACCATAGGGTGTGTGGCTAACATGACAATGATCATAGAACAAGGTAGACTGTGACACATACCATGAATCCACGTAACAGGCATGGTGACGGTTTTTTTTCGCGCCGTTACTGCCAAATGCATATACTGACACAGTGTTTTGTGTCCCAGAAGGTTATTTGACAGTTTCATTTCCTTCTTCTTTAGCTATGCCACATTTATATGTAGAAACTTGGAAAGTGCGCAACTGCAGCACTTTTGCCCTAAAAATAATTCATTCACTTATTCACTCACCTCGCTCATGTGAGGCAGTGCCTTTGCTGTTTGCACTATGCAGAGCTCACTAACTTGTCGATTTGAGCACTCTGGCAAGGTACATTCGGGCCTGGTTTAAATCTGGCTTTGGAATATTTTTTTCCTTGCTATCAGGTTCGGCCTCGTTTTCTCTGTGCTGCGCTGATGAGTCCACAGCGGACGAAACTGTTCTGTCCGCAGATTGAATATACATGTTTTCATTGTTCTATCGACTTCCTCATCTACAATGCACCTCCACTGAGGAGCTCGCAGTAAGAGAACAGCTGTCTGGAGGGCATGCAATATCTCACCAAGAACGAATACGTTGCTGTGTATGTGACCCAAGAGCGCAGTGTAGTGTGGTGGAGTGTTTCAAATTACTTTAAAATAATTTGAAACACTTTTAAAAAAGAATTTCAAATCGCCAAGTACCGTAGTTCGCAGTTTATAAGTTTTTTCTTACCCTCATTTTCCCGTTCGATCGTATCCACTAGGCCGGGAGCTGACTGCTCAGATGTTGGCACTGCCAATACACTGGTGACAACCTCCTCCTTCAGCTGGCGCCCGTTGTGCTTGCTACATAGACGGCGTATACAGTTTTAGCTAGGTGGACATGACAGCCGGAATTGCAGAGAAAGTGCACTGATTTATTTCTTGCGCGTTGCCTGGACAAGCGCATTTCAGTTCGGCAACTGGACGTGGACATCGTGATGCATGTTGCGTTGCGTTTCCTGAAGCGGAGGTCCACTCACAGTCATTACTCGACCCGTGTACGGGTACTTGAACCACTGCACCTGGGGCCGGGATGGCTTCTATCCGGATATCCGACGATTCTATCCCTACACTCTAGACTACAGCTAGCCCAGGTCACCAGGTGCTGACAGTGACATGAACACACCATGCTTCACTGAACTACAGCCTACAGACTGTGGGCTATTGTCAGTAGTGGACGATTTATCAGCGGTTGGTAGAGCCCCGGTATTCGACCATCTGAACCGTATGAGGAGTAGCGGTGTGCGCTGCTGCACTGGTAGGTATACATGGTGGAGGACGGTTTCTTGATTTGGAGCGCTGACGATTGACAACTGACTGAGGAGGCAGCTGCAGTGGACACTGGTCGGTCGGATGGGTACAGCACGTTCGTGCCTACACAGGCCTCGGGTTCTTGGGAAGCTGGCTCCGGTGTGTCGGCGTAGACTCTACTACTGGCGCATGGGTCCCGCACATTCCTCGTGCGTTCTGCGCTGCTGGGCCGCTCGTGAGACATGTCGTCCCGTTCCAGTGCTGCTCGCCCCTGCTGCTCATGCAATAAATCCACCGCCACCTGCAAATCTTGTTCCTGTGCGCAGGCGGGGAGATGTTGTTCCAACTGTTCTCCTGGCAGGGGTGGGACGTGCACCAACTTCGGCCATATTGACCTGCAGAACACGGTTGTTGATGTTGGTGGTGACGCTGCTGGCGCCGTTTCCGTGTCGGATGCTCCGCCTGATGCTCCCCCTGGTTGGGTGCCTTGCCGCGGCGTTGTGGGGTGCATCGGGCTCCGGGCCTCAGTCTTCCTGTGATGGCACATCAGGAGATACTGAGGTGTATGTTCCTGCCTCTGCATCTGAGGCAATATCTTGAAAGTCCTTGCACGTGGATTTCCCGCCCCCACAGTGTTCGGGGGCGAGTCGTCCTGTGCGGACTGGAGGTAGTGACAACCGTGTTGTTGCGGGGGTTGCGGATGCTTCCATAGTAGCCTCTCTGCGGTCGATTTCATCCAATTTACCCTCAGCACAAGTCTGCAACCCAAGGTCCAGTACCGAATCACATGGCATCTGGGACAGGCCTCCGGATTATTTGCTTGGATGACCTTGACATATCAACAGGTGGTCGGGTGGAGGAGAAACGTCTTCATGGTATCTTCCATGTCAGCGTCAACACACCCGCGGATTTGATTTCGTCATTTGCATCTGCATCACCACTGGCATCTATTGCCTGGGAAGCGGTGGCAGTTGCTTGTCATCTGTTGCTGGAGAGGCAAGGCAAGCATAGCACAAACCATGATCATGCCACTCATCTTCAACGTCGTCTGGAGTCTTGGTCTGGTGGTCGGCTCGCCACGCTGCTGATTGAATCTGGGTGTTTCCAGGCTTACCTACCTGCTCCTGGTACTGTTCGGCAGGGCCTCCAGATGTCTGATACCCGCTTTGCTAATCTGGTTTATCAGGGAAAGATGAGTCAGGCTCTCAGAGGACTTTCTGAGGAGTCTGGTGGGGGGACTGCTAAACCCCAAAGATATCGATTCTGTGAGTGGAGAGACAGTGCGCACTGTTCTTGAGAAGAAGCATCCTGCCCCTGTGGAGCCGCCAGATCATGTGCTCCAGGGGGATGAACCTCAACAAGCCAATCCAATAGTGTTTGAGTCCATCACAGCGGAGTCCATCAAAAAGGCTGCCGGGAGGATGCGGGGTTCGGGAAGTCCATGGTAGCCATTGGCAGACTATGCTCGGCCAATCGTCAAATTATGCTTTTGATTATGCCACAATTCTGCCAACAAATATGCTGAATTATGCTCGGTTCCACTATGTATTCACGCTGTACATAGAGGATTGAGAAACCACGCATACTAGCCATTGGCGGACTATGCTCAGCCAATCGTCAAATTATGCTTTTGATTATGCTACAATTATGCCAACAAATATGCTGAATTATGCTGAATTACGCTCAGTTCCATTATTTATTCACGCTGTACATAGAGGATTGAGAAACCACGCATACACACACGGCCATGCCCTAAGCATAATATTGTCTAAACCCAAAGATTATGCTGACCTTACACGTTGGAATCCGTATATTATGCCGAAGCATAATTTTTTGACGAAATCCCAAGATTATGCCGGCATAATCCGCCAAGGGCTAGTCCATGGGGTCTTGACGTGCGAGCTTGGCAGCGTATGCTGTCATCATGTAAGGGTGCTGCATTGGCTACCACGGCTAGAAGGTTGTACACCGTGAAGATAAGCTGTGATAGTTTATCGGTAGGGGTGAAACGATTAGTTCGAATATTCGAGTATTCGTTCGAAAATTTCAAACGAGCGAGTATTCGAAATTTTGCACTCGATGGTTTTTTTTTTTTTTTTTTTTTTTTTAGTATTGGCATTGTATTTTTCAAAAACTTTTGTTGTACGGCTGGTCCACTGGTATGCATGCGTTATGCATGGCTTTGAGTTAGCATTTTAAGACTTGGACGATGCGATCACCACGGCAAGTAACGTTCTGAGATATGAAAGTACTGATGAAAATCGTTACTTTACACTCTGTACAAGACGTTGACGACTTTTGTTCTATGTTCACAGATAATTTCTTCCGAATTGGTCGAGAACTCGCAAATCTAGTGCTTTTGAATTTTGATAATATACTCGAAATACCGGTAATCGGATACTCGATCGAATATTATGAACGAGTGATCGGTTGGTCAAAATAGATACTCGTTTCACCCCTATTTATCGGCCTTTGTCGCAGCCAGTTAGGTTCCCCTGGACAAGCGACCAGGTGTAAGGCCTATAGCTATCGGTGAGGTTTTTATTTTAATTGCCAAACATGAGATGCAGCTAGGGGAAGCACGCACAACCTGAATCGTGGCAGTGGTGGTGAGGGTTAGGGAGCTCCGCCGACCTAGGGTCTCGACTTCATAGCCACCTGGACGCACCAAGAGTGGGTGGGGAGGCAGAGCGAGAGAGAGAGAGAGAGAGAGAGAGAGAGAGAGAGAGAGAGAGAGAGAGAGAGAGAGAGAGAGAGAGAGAGAGAGAGAGAGAGAGAGAGAGAGAGAGAGAGAGAGAGAGAGAGAGAGAGAGAGAGAGAGAGAGAGAGAGAGAGAGAGAGAGAGAGAGAGAGAGAGAGAGAGAGAGAGAGGGAGGGAGAGAGAGGTTGCGAAATTGTTAAAGTAAGAATAAAAGGAACATTGAAAATAGGAACAATTGGTGAGGTGACTGCAGCCTCAGCTGTTTGGCCAGCAAAGTCATAATTGTCACAGTAGCCTAGGCCAGCTATTACATGAACAAGGGAGCTACTGTGCCGCAACATAGATCGAGGGAGAGTATAATTATAAGCTAGCGAAAAAGACACTGTCTCAGACGCAGTGTGTACACTACGGCTGAGGTGGGTGTGAGAGGTCTGCTAGAGTCTCTCAGTCGCCCAGCTCCAGTGGTGCAGCTGGAGGTGACGGTAGACATGGCACTTAAAGGCTTGCAGGCCCTCCAGGTGTGGGGGTCTCAGCAGTATGCTTTGGGGCAGAGCATTCCATGTCTGCACAGCGCTGGCAGGAAATGCGCGAAGACAGCTGTTTCGGGTGCGTGCTGGCAGGTTAGTCGATAGCTGGTATGGGTGCGTAGGCTGAGCAGACACGCGGGTGGGCTATCTCCTGAGGTCGACGTTTGGCACCAGGGGGAGGATCTTCTTTAGCGGGCTGTCCGCATCCAGGCAGAATAGCTTGTACAAGTATGCAAGCGAGGCCACTGTCCACCGCAGAGATAGACTAGGGAGCCAGGAGCCCGATCCGATGCAGTGTCTGCTCCAGCGCCGGGTGAGCCGGGTAATCCACCCGGTTGGGCGGCGCTTGGACCCGGTTGAAAATATAGTACCGGGTCACCTGTGACCCGGTTGGTACTTTATTACACTTTCGAACTTTGAAAGGACTGACTACATGGCTTGTACAGGTATGTGTCAGATACTTCTTCTTCTTTTGTAATTTTCTAATTATTGTCCTCTCTTTTCTAAATGCGGCTTAGCCATTCGCCTTTAGCTTTATATCATTGGGCCTAGTTCCCGTTTATTGTCCGAATTAAAATAAACCAACCAACCAGTCAAAGCATGTGACTAGGCTGGTGAGACAGCGCCAGATACATGTGTACCCGGCTCCGACCTGGTTGAAATGGTTGCGCCAGGTACACGTGTACCCGGCTGTCCTACCATCCTAGAGCAGACACTGCGATGAAGGGGATGGCTCATCGCTGGATCTGGTCTAGCTTGGCCAAGTGTGAGGGTGGCGTACCAAGCCAGACCAGGGGACAGTACTCCAGCACAGGTCGGACAAACCCATTGTAGGCAGGCCTTCCGCAGTAAGCCTAGGCGTTGCTGTGCTCTGGAGCGGATCGTGCGGATGTGCTGCGCATATGTCAGGTGGGAGTCAAAGGTGACCCCCAGGAGCTTCAGGTGGTCTGCCTCGCTGACTGGCGTAGCGTCGAAAGTGGTTCCCGGGAGCTGCCAAGGCTGGCGATGATGTGCGATTGTCATGGCTTGGGTCTTGGAGGGCTCAAACTTGATTTTCCACTCCACGCAAGATAGTGCATCCACACGCAGTTGCATGATAGCAGAGCTGCCAGGTATGGACACTCTTGAGGTGATGAAGTTGAAGAGCGTAGTGTCATCGGCATAATATATGCTGCGAGGTCCATTCCAGGAGGGAGATGGTCCTCGGCGTCATTTGTGCACAGGATGAACAGTGTCAGTGTACCATTGTATAATTTCGAAAGCAACATTGGCTTGCATTTCCCATGGTGTTGCCAGTGCAGTTTTCTCACATCAGTTGTGTGTCAGCATTCTTGCTGCATGTGAGGCTACCGTGCAGGCAGTGCAGCAACAGTACGATTCAGATGAGGCGGAGGCGAAACTGTTAATTGATGCATCAAATGCAGTCAATCGCCAGGCTGCACTGCACAATATCAATCGGCTATGTCTGGCATTATCCATTATCTTTAATAACACATATGGCGCCTGTATCAAGCTTTTTCTGCCAGATGGTGGAAGTATCAT